AAACATATATTTGGAAGACTGAGGATGTACCTTTACAATAAAAATAAAACAAGAAGTGTCAAAGTGAAATGTCAGAGATATCAACTTTCAAACTTAGTACTTAAGGAAATCAGACATTTCATACTTAATAACCTAATGCATTCTGTTGCCTATTATTTCTCCAGGACCCAGAAGATTCTTGGCCCCTGCTAGGTGTTTTTATGCATCTATGTCAAATGACTGACTGAATGAATGGAGGGTATCAGCAGGAAATTAGTTTCCAAATTAGTTTTCCCCCAAATTACACATACACATTTAAATTAATTTCTTCAGTTATCTCTTCAGAGATGAACATTCATTTATTATGTGCCACCCCAAAAGATAATCCAAAGACTAAATCACCTTTAAAAAATAGTAGTTCTACTTTAAAAGACTGATTTGAATTAAAAGAGACCACAGGGCTTTGGATTAGGAAGACTCAGGGTTCAAACACTGGTAGAGCCAACCCATTTCTGTGTTCTATGGGGCAGTGTATTATTATTATTCCAGTTTCTTAGCTTCTTGTTTGTATCTTACAGGATTGTTTTATAAGATAAATGAATAATATAGGCACTTAGTGACTTATATTTATACATGTATATTATGTGTACCTACACATGTGTCCCTTATTCCTTTACAAATTAAAGCTCTTATTCTTAAACCACTCTTTCTTAACTGCTTACTTTTGAAAATACTCTCTGAAGTTTGACTGGTCTGATTCACATGTAACATCTGTGGGGTGACAACTTTATATCAGGTCCCATTTTAGGTGGTTTTTCTGATTATGTCTGTCATCACTTGCATTTTTCACAACTTTAGAGGTAAACCCTTCTCTCCTGTCTTACTGCTGAGAAAAGGCAGGTTGCTCCCCCCTTCCAGTACGTGGCAGTGTACAAAATTAACACGGCCAGTTTTTAAACTGAAGTCTTCCTTGCGATCTGGTCCAATATTCCTCACGCTTTCCCCCAGCTGCCTCAGCACAATAAACCAAGCTCAGAAGTATAGGAAACTTCTCCAAAGCACATTTTCAAAATCACGTGCTTTTTTGGACCAGGTTTTCAAGGTACCTTGCTAACAGAACAGTTGCTTTGCATGATGAAATAGCACGTGAAAGTATGGAGGCAGGACCATGAGGCAGAAGGAGAAGCTGTGAAAGACCTTCTGAGTTGTTCATTTCCCCTTCCCATCAACCTGAAGCTCCCTGCTCTTGGCCATCTTCTCAGAGTGCTGGGAATTGGATTCCTCTCCAAATAAGCTCCCTAGCGTGGCTTGTCATTCAGTCTCAGGGTCTGTTTTGCAATAAAATCACAGACAACTCCACAGCCCCAACTTTTCCTCCTCCTGCCTGCGCCCTTCCAGGGGAATAGAGTGGAAGGAATCAAGGCCCCTGGAAGTTTGGCAGGGAGGAAGAGCAGCCAGGTGTCAGAGGAGCTGGCTTGTAGTCCTTACTGAGAAAGAGGCAAGCTGTACTCAGGCCCTCTCCTGGGCATCTCTATCCCACCTGCGGGCCTGCTCCACCTCCTGAGAGCCTAAGGGAGGGTGTACAACAAGCCGGGGCCTGGAGGACTACCAGCTTTGTTCAGTACAGCTCGAGTCCCTCCGGCCCAGCCCGGCTGCTATTTTTCGTGTCTTTGGAGAGGAAAGCCGGCAGGTGACACTGGAAGTGATTTGTTCTCATTAGCTGGGACTGCGGGTATGAGATTATTTGCAACTCAAGTGCTTAGGGCATAATGCTGGGATGAGGGCAGAGGCATCATTCCGGGCATCATCCTGTGAGTCTGTTAGAGGTTACAGGCACAAGTTCCAAACAACTGTTCTGTTGATGCATCTGGGAAGTTAGCCGTTAAAAGCAGTAACAAAACCTAGGACACTGCCATTATAGACAGTACAGAGGGAAGCATTTGTACAACCTGCCTATTCTTCTGCAAAGAACCTTTGAGTCCTCCTGGGTAATATAACCCTATGTCCTCAGGTAAAGAAATAATGCATTTGTGTATCTTTGTTCAATTTTCAGGTAAAGCAGACAGTTGTCCAAAGTACATGCCAGAAGGAACTATGTCAGATGTAGAGTCTGTAAACCTACAGGGCAACTGCTTGGATTGCAGATATATAACTTATTTCCTCCTGTGGGCTGTTACAGTTAGGATATTAGTCTATGTCTCCTGGTAAATCATGGATAGAGCTATTTTATGTGACTGCTGTTACACAGAATGGTTTAAGTGTGAGACCAGTTGGGAGAAAGAAAAGAAAATGTTGATATTGGGCAGTTTTATGAGAAGGTAAATCAAATCCAAAGTTTGAGATCCAAAAGAAGTAAATTATTTATGGTATGAATTAACTTTGGTTCATTGTTCCTGATTCAACCTGCATGAATAGTTCAATTCTTCTGTTAGGTTTTATTTGCCAACAATAAAATAAATGATATATAGTGTGACTTTAAATTCTTAGTTACTTATGAATTGGAATGAGTGTTTAAAAACCAAAAGATTTTCACAATTATGCTATTCAATTTGTATGGGCTAAATAACAGTTATCACTGCTGTGATCACTTATAAATAAAGTGATAAAAGAAAAATAAGACACTAGTTAATGAAAGTATGGTTTGTTTTGGTCAGTGATAGTTCTCGGGTATACTTAAACTTCACTGAAAAAATACTTAAGAATACTTTTTCTCCAAAACCATAGTTAGTTTCAATGAAAGGCCTTTCTTTTTTACTTATTACCAACAGTGTAAATTTGAAAGTCTTCTGATGGAAAAAAAAAGCTCTCTTGTGTATACAGTTTAATCAATTATGGGCAATCTGATTCTAGTCATTTACTGCTTGTGGTGTGAATGCCTTCTAATCAAAAGTTGATGACAGCCTGTGTTTTAATTTTCTATGAGACTTACTGGTAGCCAACTGTCATTAAAGATGTGCTATTTTGTCAATATTGAGTCAAGAAACAATTAAGCTCCATGAAAACATTGTTACTGTATAATCTGTTCCACTATACCAGACAGGGAAACAAGTACAAATAGTTTCGGCATCACCAAAAATAAATTTGTTACCATGGCAAATAAGGATGAACATGTGTCCCTCAGTCTTTGGTTGAATGTGAGAATTACCATGATGATTAGGCATTTATCACACTGTGTTACAACTGTGTTCTTGCCAACCTGCTACCCATTATCACTCTTTGAAGTTAAGAACCAGGGCTCAGTCATCTAGCTTTGCAAGTGGATACTTAGAAAATTTATATTGAATAAGTGAAGGAAGAAATGAATGAACCAGAAATACCTTATATCTAGGATAGTTAGGTATTCTGACTTGGTCTTTAATGCTGTCAGTTTCAGTTATCACACTAAATGTTTACATTTTATGTATTGGCTGAAAAATATTACCCACTTTACCTGTCCACCTTAATTGTATCAACATTAGCTATGTGTGTATATAGCTTTGGTGTTATGTGGAAGTTTAGTAGACAATTCTATGTCAAGTGTCTTGAAATCTGCAGATGAAATAGAAATCTTAGCACAAATATATATAGAAATGGTAAATGGTTATCTGGAAAAATGCCAGATCCTTGAAATACCAGGGGCATGTTACCAGTTTTACACGTAGCCCTTAGCTGGGATTGGGTTAAATGCCTATTCCTAAACCAGTCACTGATAAGGAATGGAATTGCCAGGATTGGCTTAGATCTGGGCAGGTGGGAGGATGACAGAGGGGATGGGTACATTCACACCTAACGGGTATGGTGTGCACTGTCTGGGGGTTGGGCAGACTTGTAGCTTTGACTTGGGTGTTGCAAAGGCAATTTATATAACCAAAGCGTTTATACCCCTGTAATATTCTGAAATAAAAAAAAATAATAATAAATTTTTAAAAAGAAACAAACCAGAACCAAAGACAAAAAAGATTCACTGCTTTGGACTGAGGAGAGACCCAGCTTGCCCTGTTGCCGAAAGCTGTCTAATACTTGAAAAATATTAGGGTTGTTAATATATTACTAAGAATTATATTTGGTTGTATATTGGAAGAAACTCAAAATAATAGTGACTCTTTTATTTCTTTCTTACATAGAAGTTTTGTAGATAGTACAGCTCTATGACATCATCAGGACAAGGCTTATCCTATTTTTCTGCCCAGATACACTTAATATGTAACTTCCATTGTCAAGGTACCTGCTGAAGCTCCAGCCATAACTGTAATTCCATGTCCCAGACAGGAAAAGGAAAAAGAAGGGGAAGGCCCCTTCTTCTTAAAGACTTCCTATAAATCCCAGAAAATAGTCTACTTCTATCTTATTGGCCAGAACTTTGTCACATGGGGACACTTAGCTACAAGAGAGGCTGGGAAATGTAGTTGAATGTGCCCAGCCAAAAAAATTGGAGTTTGCTACTCAAGAAGAGGAAAATGGATGCTGGAGTATACATCTACCAGATTCTGTTCCAGGTAGCAGTGACAACAGGATGGCATAAGGAAGACTCTGAGGTTGAAAGCAGGGCACATAGGATACAGTGGGTTGTCCCCATTCTCAACCATTCAGCCTAACTCTATTGCAAGTAGTTTTTAGCAGTGAAATAGACAGGAAAAGGATAGGAAGGAGAGGCAATAAACATTGTAAATCAGCAAAGCGTAGAAACTGTGTACAGATAATTAGGATCGTGTTTTGTACTATATCATTTTTTTAGCCTTCTTGGAGTACTTTACATATGAAAGGATATTATTTTTCCAAATATGGAAATGTGAAAGTCAAGGTATGAATGATCTTTCAAGCCTAACCGTCTTAATTAGCAACAAGGTCACCTTTGGAAAAAGCAAAATATTGCCAAGAAGGATAGGCTTATTATGAAAAGAATACAATCCTCTGGAAGTGGAGGAAAAAGGCAAATGAGATGCTAATTAGCTGCAATAAGCTGTGGGAAACTTATGGGTACATTAGAATCCGTACATATAAAGGCTCATTATTAATGGCAACTTTTTTCTTTATTTTTTAAGGTAGCCAATCAAGTTGTTCAAGCTCTGCTCACTCAAAAGGTAGGTCACTTTCTGGCTTTGGTCTTTTCAAGGTACTGATATGACTAGGTTGGAACTCATGTTGTCAAACTCAGAGATTGTGATTTGATAGATGCAATACTTTTGTATTTATTCATTAGGTTAAAACCATGTGGTTTTAGATGGGATATGCACTAACATCATTGATCAATAGAATCATGAAATTCAAACCCTTGGTAAAGTAATAGAAAGCCTTGTGCAGATGAAATATTTCCATGTACCCAGAAGAATAGCCAGCCTATCGTTTTTATTTAGTAAATTACAAACTTTAAGTAAGTTGGTGGATTCTTCCAATTCCCATAAAATGAATATCCTTTTTTGGACAGCATTAACTGAAGCCTAAAATTCTTCAAGAGATCTTTGAGGTTAAGGAAGTTATTTAATTTCTCTGAGCTTTAGTTTATCTTCTGCAAAGTGGGCATAACAATTCCCACCTCCCACTATGGCTGTGGGGATCCTGTGAGAGGAAGCAGCTAGAGAAGTTCCCATAGGAATCAGTTTGTGGTAATTATAAAATAAATGCTAACTACTGCACATGAGATTTCTGTACCTACTCCTCTGTTACATCACTCTTCTGCCTTCAGAAAACATAAGATCACATCTTGGGAGCACACAGGGTAAATGCAGGTCATCATTTGCCCAAATCTGGCTTGTTTGGTGAATTTTACTGCATGTTTCCCATCTCTTGCCAGAATGTTTCAGAGAAGCTAAATTCTATTAATAGTTCCCTCAGATTTTGTTTATTTTGATCTGTTTCTCTGTGAAATAGGAGACTCCTTCTCCAAAAGGAACTCTTAGATCATGCAGAATATTCAGGAGGATGTGACTAACGAGAGCAAAATAATTTATGCCATTTTGACTTTCTTAACTGAAAATAATTTTGTTAGAGGTTGGCTGCTTCTCATGCAGATAAATAGATATTACCATTAATTTATACTGCACAAGCATTGTGATAATATATTTGCTAGATTTTCTCCCCTACTACTTTTATCAAAATGCCATGCTTCCTACTGCAAATAATTTTAACTGTTTTATATTTTACACTAACATGAGATAAATAAAGAGATTTGAGTACACTTATGTGAGTTAGAATTAGGTTCCATCATGAGTGACAGAGACCCAAATCGGGGGTTGCTTAAATAAGCTAAAATGTTAGTTCTTTTTCATATATAAATCAGTAAGTATGCAGTACAGGACTGGTATGGTAGCTCTGTTCATAAAGTTTATAAAGCCCCTGGCTTCTATTTTGTTATTCCATGTAATGTGGTCCCCATTTCCAAGGTCACCTCATGGTCCAAAATGATTGCTCTAGATCTGGTCATCACATCCACATTCCAGCCTTCAGGAAGGAAAAAGCTGAAGAATATGAAGAGGGTAAAGGGCATACACCAGCTGTCTTTCAAAGGAAGCTTGCCAAAGCTTTTCATGCATCCCTGCTTACAACTCCTTGAACAGACCGTAGTCACATAGCCACACCTAATGAAGCTAGCAAGGAAGTCTTTGTGCTGGTGTGTGCCCAGCTGAAAATTGACTGTCATATTTCTGTGGAAGAAGGTTAGAAACAGATATTAGAGGGCAACTTGCAATTTCTGCTGCAATATTTTTGAAAGGCTTCTCTATGGAAAGGCTTCTCTATTTGAAAGGCCTTAAATTCTCACTTGTTTTCCTCCTGGTGGAGAGTCTGTGCTCATTTAATTACACATCTAAGGAATGAAGGGAGTGCGGTGCAGCACCATGTGCAACTATTGAAAGACTTCTCGTGCCTGTCTTTTTCAATGGTACCTCAGGACAAGGAAGCCGTCGGTACAATAAAGAGGAAAACAGGGCCATTCAGGTCAGCCACACACACAAAAAAATAGCTACACAAATCCAAGTAATAACCAGTAAACAGATAAATCTACCTTGGCACAGTTAAGCAGTGAGGCATGGAAAGACGTGCTTCTGTGAGGGAGCATACCTCAGGGACGCCACGCGGCAGGAGGAGAAGCCGGGGGCTTTCGGAGATTCCAGAAGAATCATGTTCTGCAGAAATGCGTGCCTTACAGTTTTTATAGGGGCTGTAAAATGGCTGCAAAAGGACTAAAGTTTCTTTTTAATTAAGAGCACAATATAGGAAATAAAATGCACTCCAAATGCAGATGAGAAAACAAATTCTAAAGAGGAACTGTAATGACACAGAGTAAAAACAGAAATCTTGAGTGATTTATTCAAGTCACACACAAAAAAATCCTTGAGATGAAATTACAGGCATTCTAAACTGTGCAGTTTTAGAATGTATCGTTTGTTATGACGCAAAAGCAAATCTGCCATGGCTTCAGCTCTTCACTGGGCAACCAGAAAAGCATTTCTCATGACATATCATGAATCGGCCCAGACAGGCATCTGAGAGTAACAGAGTCTACCACTACTGATAGAAAAAAATGTTATTTCCATAAACTTACCAGCTTCTGTTAAATGTACATATACTGTCCTAAGTCGAGTCATTCAGTTTATCTCAAAAACCTGTGGATTCTTTTAAGAGAGCAGACTATACTGCTTTAGATCAAAAATGCTAAAGTGATAATTTTAAACCCAGCTCTCTTTCTTTATCCACCAAATTATAGGTCCCAGTCTATAAGTGCAAGTGAAAGCAGTAATCCAGGCTAAACTCATATTTTTGTCTGAAATACACTTTATTAAGTCAATTACACTTGCTGACAATTTAACTCTCCTAGATTTTGCAGTGTTTTTTGTTCTGTTTTTGTTTGTTTGTTTGCCTCTAACACCAAACTGGGAAGGAAAGCATTTTCCTTGCACTTATTTTCTCCATATCAACAATCTCAGTCTTGTCTACATGTTCTTTGGAATAACCAAATATTTATATGGTGTTTTTTCTTCACCTTCGTGGAATAAGGCTGGGATATGGTGGAGCCCAGTAATGCAGCCATTTAGATAGAAGCAGAAGACAATTTTATCACTTGTAGCTGAAAGAACTCCAAACTCCTACATATTTCCCTTGTAGGAGAGGCAGTTGGAATACCTTTGTCTCCTTCTATCACAATGGTCTATCTGTCATCTGGTTCCTGAAGAGGGTTTATATTTACTGGGCACTTATAAGCAGTCAGACCCATGTCCAGCACTTTAAATGCACCAAGTCATTTTGCTCTCACTGTAGCCCTATAAGTTAGGACTAAGAAAATAATTTGCCCATAAGTCCAATTGCTAGGCAGCAGCAGAGCCCGTGCTATACCCTACTACGGTTGCTGCACCACAAACCCCGTGCTCTGACCCACTACCCCATTCTCCCTCCACGATCCCATTTAGGAACTTGCTGTGTTCCCCACTGTAATTCAGTAGGACAGAGAGAGATGCCATGAACATCAACAGATGGATTGAAATCTGATGGTTAGATATGCTTGCAGGGAATAAAACAAAAGGACATGGTAGTCAAGGGACTTCTTAAAACTTCTGGAAGCATTGCTGGTCTTCTCTAGCAAGAAAAGGACATTCAGGCTCTGACATGTGTGGAGTAAAACTGACTTTGTAATTTTGCAGTGAAGCTTTCTCAGAATTAATCTTATTTTAAACCCTGGAATTTCACAATTGCCAGGGACCTTAGAAGTGTTTAATTGTGAGATTATCAACTAGCTTTGGTAATGGGCTCAGTTCACCGAAATTTCATAAACTGCTTAGCCATCACCCAGATTAAAAATGATTTAATCTAAAGGCCTTGAAGAGGAAGGCTTACAGTGTACAGTTTGCCGCAGGACTCGCCACTTCCTGTGCATGATCCCGATTCAGTCACACATTTATGTCACCTGGCTTGCCTTTTAGATATTTGATGCTAAAGCCCTTGGTCAGTCTGAGACATGACCAGCCTTTTCCAAAAATAGCTTTTCTTTTTACAAAAGTCTTAGCATTTATGGCAGAGTTAGACATGTACTAGTGCAAGCCACTGAGAAGGGATATGACCAGAAGGGGCTGTTCAACTTTAGGGAAAGCACAAGGTTGCACCTGGCAAGCCATCCCATGAAGCAGCTTAGACATCAGTCTCTTGAAAAGCCCAGTCTGTACAGAGCTTCAGTTTACAGATGATGAAACTGAGGCCTAATCAGAATAAACCAGTTCTTCAAGGTCATGTGGATAATGAGGACCAGAGCCCAAGCCCTCCAACCCCAAATCCACTGTATTCCTACGAAAGACACTGCCTCTGAAATAGGCATGCCACTATAATATCATTTTTATAGACTAAAATTAGATTTAAATAATTTTCAACAATATTCCAGCAATACTGTCAGTATTTGTCCTGTTTCTAAGCCATCAGTACTTTCTTAAATTTACTTCAGCCTGGAGCTGATAATGGTTTTACTCTTAAGTGCATAAAGTAACTGAACTCTCATACGTACAGTATAGCAGTGGGTCCAGAATCTTCTCCAGCCCAAGTAGAGGCGAAACTTACCAGGTGTGCAGATCCTCCAGGAAAATTGTGGTTTGGGATCATTACGGTGGCCAGGGACCCTTTAGACCAGTGTGTCACTTTGCTCAGTGTATTTTGCTCTCACCTTTACCTATAATCCCTCACAGTCTCTGCTTCTAAATGATAAGTGACATGCACATTGCAAGAAAAACAGGTCTGGCTATATTTCTGAACCTAACACCACTGTGCTTTTTTTAAAACACGAGATCAAATGTACTCAAATCTTTGACATTTTTTCCCCATGATAAAATTATACATCATGCCCTTTTTCCATATCAGAAGGCGTAACCCTATACTTTCAGTGAGGTCCTTTTCTTGAGGCCTGAGACCTACTAGGAAGGCATAGAAGAAGAAGAAACACTGTAAAGAGGACAGACAATCCAGGCCCTCCACTGAGCTGTGGTCCCAGACTATGGCATCTGCATAGGGGAGAGTTCTTTTGTTTCTAAATCCTTGCTTGGGGATGCTATCTAAGTCTTGCCTCTGTAACTGACAGGGTCAGAAGAGCTGCTCTTGTACCCACTCTCAATGTGCTGTGTGCTCCTTTATGTTAGCAGATTCCTATCGTGAGCATAGAGGAAGCTGAGACAGTCGCTGCCCCGTTTGTCCAATAACCACAGTAGTGGTCAAAGAAACAGATGTTTCTCTCTCTTTCCGTCTGTCCACTCTGGTTGTGTTTATGCATGTGCACAGAGGCACACAAGCATATTTTTGATTACAGTATCTTGGGAAGCTAACTGTCTGGCATCAGTAACTGTCCACAGCTTGATGGAAGAAAATAAAGATATTAAAAACGATGCAAGCAATTCTTTTCTGTCTACAGAGTTCAGATCAGCTCATTTCTGTGTGTCAGTGATTGTAAGACCAACAGTGTCACATTCCTAAAGTCTCCCCTCTTCCCCTCTGCCATGTGCTGAGCTGGACAAGCCAGCTGTGATGAACAGAGAGTCCTCTGGGTCGATAAATTGTGTTCCCGCTATTGAACTTTTACCATGCCTTAAGTAATATTAACAGTAACAGCCATTGAAACTTAGGCACTTTTTATAAAAACTCTCTAGAGTATATTGATTTTTTTCCCCTTCCATTCTTTCTTTTTATTGTGTTTTATTTATTTATTTTTGTTACCCCTCTGAAGAATTTATGCAGTTATTCTCAGTTTTGCTTTGCTGCTAAAAATCGTGGCTACTGTTGCTTTCAGCTCCCTTTTCCCTTTGCAAATCCACACTTGTATGCCTCTGTTTCCGCATCTCCACCTTGCAAATGAGAATGATTGTGTTTTCCCACCCAATAGGTACTATTAATATTTATCTACCTCACAGTCAAGTTTTATTAATGACTTAATTAGCAGTACTGAAAACAATTAGTGTTTGGGAGCCAGGAGTGTTATATACATGCTAAGAACAAAAATTAGCGCAAGTGAGACAAAGACAGAAGTTGAATGCTAAATAAAGAAAACAAATTTAGCCTTTTAATTTGAGCAGTGAGTAGGCCCTACAATGGCCTCTGCCAAGAGGCGTGTGTGCCCACAAGTATAAATGCACATGCCTGCTTCTACTCTCCTGCATCTTGTACCTATGTGCCTCATTCCGAACATGGCATTTGTAGGGACAAATCAGTTGAGAACATCCTATGCATAAGCTTTACCCATTTACAAAGGTGAGGAGAGTAAAAACTGTGCAGTGGGCCACACGTTGACCTGTTTCTCTGCCCTAATGAAGTAGAGTTAATACTAATCTACTAGATATAATCATGCACGCACAAGTTACGCCTCAGAAACCAGATCTCTCTAGCATCCCAGTTAGGTTGATACAAGGTTACGGAACAGACCACTCCCCTCTGTGACTACTATTGAGACCCCGGGGGTCAGAACTGTTGCCCAGTGCTCTCCCTTGGCTGCAGAGCCTTCCTTAAGTAAAGTCAGTAGCATCCCCATGTCAGAAATACATAGATCAACAAACTAGAAGTGTTGGGAAACTTAAACTCTCTGTATCTCACCAATCACTAGAGAATAGAATTTGTCATCATATTCTCCTTTAGCAAAATAATTGCAAATGCTTATTTATTAGGCTCTTACGATATGTGGCACTATGCTAAGTGATGGAATAAAAAAGAGTGTAAGGACAATATGCTTGTGTGGTTGTTTATTTCAGTATCTTGTTGTGCTTTCCTGATAAGAAACATGCCATCTAATTGACAGGATAAGTCTAGAGCACACAAGATAAAATGAATACAAAGTAGTATATGCTAAATGTCATAGAGGAGGCATTGGGGGCTGATTGGAGTTCAGAAAAGGAATCAGTCCTTGAAGGATGCCAGGTAAAGTGTCATCAGAGAGGTGATACAGTTTGAATTGGATGTCAATCAAAGTGCCAAAGGTGGACTGGAAGAAAGAGGTGGAAAAAAAAAAAAAAGGACAAATGATAGTGGGGGAGGGAAGAGAATGGCAGGAATGCATAGAGCTTTCCAGAACAACAAGCCAGACCTTTGTTCTTTGCATAGTGAGAAGAGAAGACTTTAAAGAAAAAAACCCAAGAAAAAGTGAAAGATAAAGTTTGAAATGTAGAGAAGGGTCATCTTTTGAAGAACCTTGAATCTGGGCTTTATTCTGCTGGGTCTGTCTTGAAACCCCATCAAAGAGGATATAGACGTTTAAGTACCACAAGTACCTTTATCACGGTCAGTTTGGAAGGCAGTTCCCATGGGTCAGCTCCCTCCTATGAGCTGGGGAAAAGGTCTCCATGGTGTTTGAACTATTCAAAAGAGCTGCTCCAAAAGGATGCCAGGGTGGGGTTACTGTGCTTCTTCCCCAGAACTGAGACCAAAATGTCCCAGAAGATATGGAAATCCACTAGTTCAGAGGATGAGCAAGTTACAACTGGCCTCTCTTAAAAGCCTTAACCTCACAGTCACTTCTCTCCCACTAAATGCATCACTGACTCTATTAGCCACAGAGCCAAGAATTTCAACTCATTTCCTCAAATGACAATGAAAGGCTCCATCAAAAGTGATAGTTTCTTTAGTTCATCAAATCTCTATTCACTGCAAAAACATTGTTGTTGTTCATGTGGTTTGTGCTTTATGATTGCTTTTATGAAGACAGTGAAAAGGCAAAATATATAGGTGGAAACTTAAATTGACTTTATATCGCTAAGATTTATTGTCTTCAAAAATAGCATGCTAGATTAATGTATTTCTGTTTTCAAGGTGTTTTAAAAAATAAAATTGGTCTTTCTTGCACATAATAATTCTATCAGACCATGGTCTGTGGAAGAAAACGCGCTGTGTATGACTTGTTTCTGGGACCTTTGAAGAATAAAAATGCTATTTTTTACTAATGTGTCTGAAACATTATATATAATGTGGTGATAATATGCAAAAACATCTTTCAGTTATAGACTTTTGCCCCTTCACTGTGTTTGTTGTAGGATCTAAGGGAAGAATGTGTAAAGCTGAAAACAAGAGTGTTTGATTTGGAACAGCAAAATCGAACATTAAGCATCCTATTCCAACAACGTGTCAGACCAACTTCTGATCTGCTCCTGCAGGTATGTGTTTATCTGGAAAACTGTCTTTGCACTGAAATGCTAGTGATAGGAAGTTACTTAAATGCAGAAGTTACCAACGTCTTCATGGGCAGACATATTGCATCAGAACTCCAATTCTTTCTTCTCTCAAGATATGTCATTAAAAATGAACATCTCTTAAACCCTTGACTTTCCAAAGCTATGTGCAGATAAAGAAATGCTCCAACAAAGAATAACTAGATAAAAGGGACAATCAGAAGAGTCCTCCAATAAACTAAGTGGAACAATGGAGTGGAGTTAGGAAATAATTGATTGCTTTGGGGACTGGTATTAGTAATCTTGCATTCTGTGATAAGCAAGGAAGAGTTTTATGTCATGCTAAAGCACATTTCCTTATTTCAAACTCTTTATTAATCAAAAATACAGCTGGGGTTTGTTTTTCTTTCATATCTCTCTCTTTGCAGAGTTTCTCCTCACAACACATTTCTTGTATTCTGTCTCAGTGTTTTTACAGGTGGTCTTTGTCTAAGTGCTCTCCCTGAACTCTATTTTTACTTGCCTTCATAACATGGAAAGTTGTGGAAAGTCAAACCATTTGAATCATTTTGAAGCTGTTTGTGACAAAGCACTGGAGAATATGTCCCACTGCAGGGAAACACATGAATTGGTAGAAGGGGCTGGAGGGCTGACCTTTGCTGTTTCTGACTTTTTTTTTTCCTGATCCGATTAGTGTGTATATTTGCTCAAACAAGCTCCCATGAGCTTTGCTTAGAGCCCTTCTGAGGCTGAGCTGTGAAAGGCTGCACTGAGGTTTCACAGGGTTAGTGTTCAACGTACAAAGGGTAACCTACCACTGCTTGGCCTAATTGGCTAAGGGGAAGGTCCTTCTCCAAACTCTGATCATCCAGACTGCACTGTCAGCACTGTAACCACTAGCTATGTAGAACTATTTAAATTTTAGTTTTAAAATATTTAAATTAAGTTCTATGTCCAACCCGCTACATTTCAAGTGCTCAAAAGCCACATGTGGCCAGCGACTTCTGTGTCGGGCAATGCATAAGTAGAATATTTCCATCATTGTAGAAAGCTGTACTGGACAGTATTTTTTTTCCAAATGGTTGAGACTGTGTTGCTAATTTACCCTCTGAATTTTGGCATAAACATCTCAGGAGCCCTTAGAGAAATAATGGAAAATTCCAATTCATTTCAGAGAAAGAAAGATGTTTGGTAAAGCTGAACATCAAAATGTAATTTGCCCCCCAAATTAAAATAAAACAGCTCTCTGAATTACAAAATAGATCCTATCTCAAATTAATTTCCTCTCTGCTTTATCTGTTGGAACATAATTCATAATTTATGACTCAAAAATTGTGTATGGGGGGAAGTCATCTATCTCCATTCTGTTTCCTGATCTTGACCACCAAAAATGTTTGTCATAAGGGATTTTGCATTCATAAAAAGTTGTGTTGCTTTTGCAATCTCATAATCAAAATCCAACATTATAAGTACTTTTAAAAGTTGTTGCATGTTTGTGAATTTTTCTCTTTTGCCTATTTTAACTTGAGGATTTTCTGGAACAATATTTAAGGATCTGCATTCCCTATTTATGAACCATGATAATTTATTTGCACAGTAAACACATGTGCTGTGGATATTTAAGCTTTTCCATTGGCTGTCACAAATTTCTTAAACCATACCCAACTGGCAGGGCATGTTGTGTATGCTAACAATAGAACTCAGTGTTTGTGCATTGAGTGTTTTTAGCCAGCATACTTTATATTCCTCCCCAAACAGTCCTCACTTCCAGGAGCTATTCTAATTTAAATAATATTTGTAAAAGATGGGCTGTTAATAGTTCTGTGAAGAATAATGATAAAAAGTGTGATACCTGCCCTCTAACATCTTAGCGCGCACAATCACAGAGGAAGTTGCTGACTTCTCAAGTAGTCTGTTAATTATTTCACTCATGACTTTTCATTTTCTTGTGGTACTTTTGGATTTAATTAAGAAACAAAGACATACCATGTCGCTAAATGAAAGCAGTCTGAGCTTGCTTTACAAACCTGTGGATGCTTAGTAACTGTTTGTTGAATGGAATAATAAATAAATGATAAATTCATTCTTCAAGTTGGGGAGTTATTTTGCATAGGTTTATGCAAAATAACTATAAACCTATGCCCCCACCTCTTTTTATAAAATTTTCCTGTCTTGTGTAGATTCTTGGGCAGTGTACAGCCATGTAGGTCCAACCCAGACTGTTTAAGGAGGTGGCAGGTAAATGCAGCAAATCTACCAGTATGCACCTGGTCTCGATATTATAGACCCTATAGTGGCTGCCCATGGATTGGGTACAGCAGATTTCTAAGTAGTTTTCTGCATGTCTTAGACAGCTGCATTAGTTGTCATCTGCTGAATATAGCCTAATGATTCTCTACAACCTAAAGTAGCCAACTGAAGAGAAACATAGAAAGAAAAGAGTTTCAAACACATTGTGCTTTTAGATAGATAAATTGTAAATAATAGAAAATACAAAAACAGTCAACTCTTTGTCCCTTAAACATAGGAAATAAAAGGTTACAATGATGTCATTTAGCAAATCCTTGTATGGGAGAAACAGAAAAGGATCACTCTAAGTACTAATTGACAGATCTGGTAAACTTACAGAGGGATACATGCCCATGATGGACAAAAAGAAAGTCCTAACCTCAAAATTGAAATCTTAAGATAGACAACAAACTTCTCTATTGATTCCAATTCCTAGAATGATATCTCTGGGACTATGGATGATAACAAATCAGATTAAAAAGACCCCCCCCCTTTATTACAATCAATAACTAGAGCTAAATTCCAAAAAACTAAGAAGCCAGTTTAGCAAATGAAATCCGAAAGTAATGCTCTTGCAGGGACTGGAGTCTCTAACTAATCACATTTGAATCTACTTAGCCAGATTAACCACTGCTCACCATTTCCTCTTAGAAATCACACTGAACAACATCCTCAAGGGTGGGTGGGGATTGTTCATCCTCAACATAGAATGCTGGCAGCTAGCAAAGAGCTCTCTACTAAGTGTATTTGGTAGAGAGAGATGGTGAGTTGCTGCTCACCAAGAATGAGTTTTGCTTGTAACTTAGTGGGTTCACTCAAGCAGTGCTTGTAATGGTAATTATGTAATTAAAACAATTTAATCAATTTTATATGTATTATATAAACCAATGTACTATGATGTAAAAAGAGACTTGTTTCTGTAAAACAAATTTGGATGTTTCAAAAGTTCCTATAAAGGTAAGTTGCTAAAAAAGAGTTTGTGATCAAATTAAAATATATGTCTAATTATTAAAAAATTGTGGGAAACCAGGGATTGTATTAAACATAGAAGGACTGTACACGTGAACTGCTCTTCAAATGGTTTTAAATTCTTGTTCCATTGTGAAGAAAAAGAAAAACTAGGAATCATAGGCAATGCATGAAGTATATATTTGATATTCCCCCCAAAAAAGATAATAAAAGATTCCAGTAACAAGATCTCTAGACAAAGAGGCAGCCTTGCCCCTACCAAAAATGTTATTTAACAAATGTATAGTTCTTACCATGTCTAAAATACTGTCCTACAACCTTACAGCATTCACCAATTTAATCTCTATTACAGTTCTATGGAGTAGGGCCTCTCCTTACACCCATTTTACTAATGGGGACACTTTAGCATAGAGAGCCTAAGTCACATAGCTGGAATTTGGCAGAACAAGGATTTAAATCTGAAAATGTAGTGAAATTGAGCTCTCCCCTTTCACCTCCATTCAGTGCTCCCTCTGCATGGGACATGAATGGGCATGAGGACCATTTTTATGATACCCCACTCTAAGTGATATTTTGATTAACAGGCCCCCCTGTGACCAAGTCAGATCAGAGGGCTTCCGCAGTGCAGTAACATACAGAGCCTGCAATATTTACACATTTCTGAAATGTGGCATCTAAGATTTTCTCCTCCCTGTGCGTTCTCTCTTTGTCTTGTTTTGGACACCTGTGTTATCATTATCCTGATAGGACAGTGTTCTCATATTTTCAGCCTAAGAACAGTTGTTTCTTTTGTTTTTTATCTGATATTTCAAAGGGCCCTACTACCCATATCCCTAGGCCAAGATAGGAAGAAAAGAGTGTTATAGTGTAGATTATTCACGTGAACAGTAGAGGGTCTGACAGCTTAGAACCAAGGTGCAAAAATTTGCCTTCTTAGAGGGCTGACTTTGTTTTTGCTAGTGTTTTATATTATGATTTCTATCTGATGAGATGAGAGGGCTTAAAACTTCTACTCGCTTCTCGGATTTATTTTTTTCCCCTCTAACCCTTTATTTCCAAAGTGTAAATCTGTCCGTGAGGCTGATTTAGCAGGACACTGCACACTTACTTCACCACCTGTCCACAAGCAATGCCTCCCACTCTGAGATCCAGCCACCACCCCTCAGGGGCCATCGAGGGCCACAGCAGTCCTCACTGAACTTGTCCCTTGCTGGAGTTCACGTGGTGTTGGTGATCTATACCACACAAGTCAGCAGTTCATGGCCCTGCATAGAATTAAGGAATCCATGGCGGTGGGAGCTCACTGGTGCAGCCCAAGTAACCAGGGATTTCTTGTTAACTTTTCATTTCAACTCAGTAGCAACCTTTTTGGGGAAAAGGACTATGCTCAATGTTACTTTTTGCCCCCTCCCATATCACTGTTCATAGCACATATTCAGTGTGTACTTGATGGCTTAATGCTTAATTACATACATCTTTTTATCTGGAATTTAATTTGGTGGAAAGGGGATACAATAAGATCATAATCCTCTTGGTGAGAAGACTATACCTCCTTCTGTCCACTTATTTTTGTATTAGCCCCATCAACCAACCTAGGTGCCAAATTCATATGTTTTAAATTATTTTATTTATTTCTGAGAAGCAGAGATTTTTAGGCATTTACACTCTCTGACACCATTAAACTTAACCATTGAGTAGTGAACACAGCCACACAGAACTACCCAGAA